CGAGGTGGGGGCCAGCAGGCAGCGGCTGGCGGGGGATGGGTCCACCCCCTGCAGCCACACGTGGCCCTCGATCTGCTCCAGCGAGGCTCGATGCTTCGGGTCTCGCTGCAGCATCCTGGAGATGAGGCTGGGGGGGGATAGGGGTGACATGAACCCCGATCTCAACAGCCCTATTGCCCTTCTCCCAGCTCAGCTCCTCGGCGGAGTGGGTCAAGGTCCAGAGGGCCCAGGGAGGTGCTTACTCAGCACATTGAGCCGAGACGTGTGTGGGGACGGTGTATCGGCAGTCCATGATCATGGTGAGGGTCTCGCTGTCGTTGGCCTCCTGGAAAGGGGGGTGGCCACAGACCAGCATGTAGAGGATGACCCCCAGGCTCCAGATGTCTGCAGGAAGCAGCAGCAGTTCAGGTTGCACACACCGTGGCCCGGCAGAGAACCCCAACCCCAGGCACTCCCCACCAGCCCCCCATGCTGATCCAGTGCTCACTGGGATGCTCCTAGGGAGTGATGGCTCCCACATCCTGACCCACAGGTGGGCAACCACAGCCCTATTGGAGCAGGGAAGGACCTTCCCCATCTCCACATCCAAGCAGTTGAAATCTCAAGCAGTTGAAATCTCAAGCAGTCGAGACCTTGTCCCCTTTTCCAGGTGGGGACAGCCCTGAGCTCTGTCCCCCCGTTACCCACCCAAAGCACTGTTTCATGTCATTAATCATCTTCCTGGTTCCCAAACAGACCCCACCACAGCCATCCCAGCACTGGGCTGTGCCAGAGGGGACACCACAGTGATGATCTGGGCCCTCCAGCTTCCCACAGCTGTGACAGAACCAGGCTGAGTGGGATCACGGGGACAGGGACTGAGCCAGCGACATCTTCACCAGTTCCTCCTGAGCACTGCACAAACTGTCTGCAAAGGTGCATTTCTGGCATGCTAAGCATGCCCTGGGGCTCTCCGTTAACACCCTCAGCTTCTTAAGTCAAGGACCTGCATTTGAGATGTTCTCATCTGTGATGGTTTTCACCCTTCATTTCCCTTGACAGAGCCACCAGCTGCCTTTCTTACAGTCTCCACACACTCTCCCCATTCTCAGCTCGGGAGCTGCCTTTCCCTGAGCCGATGCTGGGATTTTTCCTTTAAGGGATCGTGCTTTGTTTTGCTAAATCGTTCTGCCCCAAATTCCAGTGAAGCTGTTTGGGGTCCCGCTTCCCTCCCACATCCCCTCTCTATTCCAGCAAAGCCTCTTAGTGCCTCTAGCTCAGGATGGGGATGGTCTCCTGAACCCTTCTGCACCCTGGCCAGGGCAGAAGGGTGCTGGGATCCATGGGAAGGAAGTGATTTTCAGGGTGGGAATGGAGCAAAAGAAACTTTCTGGGTGGAGGAGCTCTAAGAGCAGCATCCCAAGTGGGCTTCCTTCCGGCATCACTCCCTCAAATCACAGCCCCCACTGGCCTGCTCTGGCTTCTTCCCCACCCTGGCATTATGCATGGCTCTGTGGGATCTTGGTAGGTGCAGGGATAGGCAGAGCGGAGCACCTGAAGGACAAGCTTGCTCCCTGCAGGAACAGCAGTGCCACCAGGGCATGGGTGCTCCTAGCGCAAGGGAGCCAAGAGCAAGGTGATAGCTCACTGGCAGGACCACACTTCTGGCAAGGGACACGAGGAAGCAGGTCCCCATGGTGAGCACCAGCCATGGTTCTGAGCCCCACCACCCTTACCGACAGCTGGGGCATCGTACTCCTCCCATCTCAGGCGCGGAGGAGGCCCGCGAGCCACAGCTCGTAGTGAGCATCTTGCCGGGCTGGAAGCGGTTGCTGAAGCCGAAGTCAGTGAGCTTGACCACCCCTTGCTCTTGGAAGAAGACCACGTTCTCGGGCTTGAGATCGCGGTGCACCACGTGGAGCTTGTGGCAGTAGGAGATGGCGTGGACAATCTGGGCGAAGTAGTGCTTGGCTCGCGCCTCGGCCAGCCCACCCTCGTGCCGCATGATGTGGTCGAAGGCTGGAAGCGGTTGCTGAAGCCGAAGTCAGTGAGCTTGACCACCCCTTGCTCTTGGAAGAAGACCACGTTCTCGGGCTTGAGATCGCGGTGCACCACGTGGAGCTTGTGGCAGTAGGAGATGGCGTGGACAATCTGGGCGAAGTAGTGCTTGGCTCGCGCCTCGGCCAGCCCACCCTCGTGCCGCATGATGTGGTCGAACATGTCCCCACCATCACCCAGCTCCAGGATGAGGTAGAGTTTGGTGTGTGTGTCGATGACCTCGTAGAGGCGCACCACGTTGGGGTGCTGCACCAGCTTCATACAGCGCACCTCCTGCAGGAGCTGCCCCGC